GTGTTTGAAGAACTGACTGTGTCAACTCCTAAACCATATGTAGTAATTTGTGACAGCCAGTCTGCCCTTCACATTGCCAGGAACCTTGTGTTGCATGAGAGGACTAAGCACATAGAAGTGGACTGTCATTTTGTGCGCAATAAGCTTCATGAAGGTCTTGTGTCCTTGCATCATGTGGCCACAACTGATCAACTAGCAAATGTTCTTACTAAGGCCTTAACAGGCCTCAGACATTCAGTTGTACTTGGCAAGTTAGATGTGAAGAGCACACCTCCAACTTGAGGGGAGGTATTGAGATTTACTTATCTGTATATACATGCTGAGTCAGCATAATTAGTTAGTGCTAGTGCTAGTGTTAGTCTGTTACACTTGTCTGTTATACAGTTAGTTAAGTAGTTAGTGGATTAGATTAGTGACAGCTAATTGGCAGTTGTATAAGGAACTAGTAATGTGTATATATTCGAGTACATTCTCTCAGAAATGAAGTTGAGCATTATCATCTTTCCCAAAATATCTCTCTAAGGTGCTTCTATGGAGCCATTTGTACATTGTTGCTTCTTAGTTGCATCTGCAGCAACTTCAACTTAGTTTTTGATTGTACTGTTGTATCTTCAGAATTGAGAATGCTAGCCACCATCAAAAATTGTTATAAAGAAAGTAGACTCCAGCTTTCCAAAGCTCCTAGAAATTCTACGAACTCCTCTATTTCCTCTATGCAGTTCCGTTTACACCAAAAAAAAATAACAGTTACCAGACAGTTTGGTGTTATCGAAGAGTCGTTGAAGAGCAAATACTTTCATGGCTGAGTTACTCTGACTCTAATTATTATCTAAGGATATAGATAAAGAGAATAACAAAGAAGCAGAAATAAACAATTGGGAAATCTTGAAAATTCACTTGTTAGAGAAAGAAGCTAGTTAGAGAGAGAAGATCTGACTTCTCACTAGAACTTGTGCTTGCAAAACTCATTGATGTTTAATCTACCGACTTTGATCACTTTTTGGCCTTTCACTCAATATCTTCTCTCATCCCTCAAACCATCTATTGGTATATGTGGGTTCCGTAAGATTTTTTTCATCTAAGACCGAGCCACTACGTTTGTTCCCAGCTAAAATCCATTTCTTCCAATCTGTTTGTTCATAGTGACCTGGTTTACAAAGCTAACTTAAGACTAGTATATGGAAGGGAAATGTACGTTCAATCATCAAAGTCTCTCTATTATCTGCATTCTTCATCAATATGGAAAGCAAAGGTTCTTCTACCAGCCTGTGAAACTGTATTAACTAATGGAAAGGAAGAAGAATTCTCCATTGACGGGAGAAGCCTAACTGAGATATGTTTTGAGAATAGAGGTTTGTCCTTATGTTTTGTATAATTTAGATGTCTACAAAATGTGAACTCCTGGGCAGTAGGACTATTGTAAGTGAATTTGCAAATGGATTGGACATTATAGACTCCTAACTTGTCTAAATGAGTTAGTCCAGAGAAATTTTGTACACTTCTAGTACCAAGCTAATGCTGTTCTTGACAGTAAAATTTTACTCTCTGCCTATCCCCCAAAATGGAGAGAGG